CATGTACCCACTTGTATTTATCTGGCAACTGTGCCGTTGCAAGTAGGGTAGATGGGGTATAGTTAGGGACCTACCTAACTCAAGGACATGGCAGGGCAATTTCAAGGGCAGATCCTGGGGACAGCTGCCATTTTTATGGACTGAGTGCGGCGAAGCCCCTCCCCCCATGCCTCTGATTGCCCAAGGGGGCCCAGTGACCCTAACCCTCACTGCTGATTGGTTGTCAGGGCTGTAGGTCATATGGTCCTGCCCCTTGTTGCTGCTTGGTTACAAGAGCTATCCGTCACACAGCCCCACACCACACTGCCAATAAGTGAAAAGGGTTGGGACCTCACGACAGGCAGCCCTCTTAGCCAATCAGTAGTGAGGGGTGGGGACGGCAGCTGTCTTGCTGGTAGCCAGTCAGAATTCACCTTGTCTTTCCAAAAGATGTTCCCATGAAGTTTTAGACAAGGGCAGGGAAATGTGAAGTCAGTATTAACATCTCATGTTCCAGGAAATAATTACTGCCCCATACTCTGATATGCTAAAAATGTTCATACTGTAGCAGAGGTAAATATTATTGCTAAAGGAAACACTCTTGCTTTATAAGAAAAAGTAAGTCTTTCAATACATTTTAAAATTTTAAATTAAGAATGTAAAAAATACTTGAAAAAGGAAACAAAAAAAATCTCTTACAGACTAGAACCAAGCAAAGGCCTCAACTGCACAGAATCCGTCATCCCGGTGTAAATATTTAAAGGAGACAGGGAACCAATGTCACCAGCTTATTTTATACTGATATTATAAAGGTTTTTGTTGTACTGTGCATTCTACCACATGTATAATAAAAACTTTACTGAGCTATGCCTGTCTATCCACCATAAGTGATAAGTGTTTGTGAACATGGATGATTTCAAATATTATCACCTACACAATTTTACATTGTAATGGTGCGTATGCCTCTTAACAGGAAAGGTGTGGGGCAGATCTGCCTCTATCTGTTCTCCCCAGAAATGTTACTGCTACGTAAAATGAAGGAATATTTTCAGTTGAAAGACAGTCATAGTGTAGATATCGGAAATGAAAACAGGGAGGCCATATACAAGTTGCTGAGCAACATGTAAAAATATGAATTATTGCCTGTTCCAATTCAACTTCATAGTATCATAGTGCTCAGGGTCCTACGCCAGGCAGGAACAAGTGCTGGGGCCATATCACCCCAGCCAAATATCTGTCCAACCTCCTCCTGAAGACCTCCAAGGTAGGAGAGAGTACCACCTCACTTGGGAGCCCATTCTAGAGCCTGGCAGCCCTGACCATAAAGTAATGTCTCCTGATGTCCAGCTTGAACCTTCTCTCTAACAATTTGTGGCCGTTATTCCTAGTAACCCCAGGTGGTGCCTGGGGGAACAGAGCATCCCCCAATTCTCGCTGGTTCCCCCGATGAGTTTGTAAATGGCCACCAGATCCCCTCTCAGCCTGCTCTTGTGGAGGCTGAATAGGTTCAGGCCCTTTAGCCTCTCTTTGTAAGGGCTGCCCCGCTGCCCTTGACCATGTGAGTGGCCCTTCTCTGGACCCTCTCAATGCTAGCCACATCCCTCTTGAAGTGCAGCGCCCAGAACTGGACGCGGTACTCCAGCTGTGGCCTAACCAATGTTGCATAGAGGGGAAAGATCACCTCCCTGGACCTACTTGTGATGCATCTGTAGATGCACGACAAGGTGCAGTTAGCTTTACCAACCGCTTCCTTGCATTGGCGACTCATGTCCATCCTGGAGTCAACAATGACTCCAAGATCCCTTTCTGCCACTGTGTTGACAAAAAGGGTGTTCCCCAGCCTATAGGTGTGTTGCTGGTTCCTTCTCCCTAGATGCAGCCCCTTGCACTTGTCTGTGTTTAATTCCATCCTATTTTCATCCACCCACCTCTGTAATTTGTCTAGATATAGCTGGATTCTGTCCCTCCACTCCAGTGTGCCCACCTTGCCCCACAACTTGGTGTTGTCAGTGAAGTTGGACAGCGTGTATTCCACGCCCACATCCAGATCACTGATAAAGATGTTGAACAGTACAGGCCTGAGGACCAAGCCCTGGGGGACTCCACTGCCCACATCTCTTCAGTTCAAAAAAGACCCATCCACCAACACTCTCTTGGTGCAACCATCTAGCTAATTTGCCATCCATCTGACTGTGCAGGCATCAATGCCACAGTCACCTAGTTTTTTTGAGAGAATGTAGTGGGAAGCCATGTCAAAGACCTTCTTAAAGTCCAGGAAGATGACATCCACCTCGACACCCTCGTCCAGGGACATTGTGACCTGATCATAGAGAGAAACCAGGTTAGTCAGGCAAGACCTGCCTTCAGTGAACCCATGTTGGTTGCTCCTGAGCATTACCTCCCATGCTGGGCCGTTGCAGATGTGCTCCTTGATAATTTTCTCAAAGGTCTTCCCAAGGACCGAGGTAAGACTGACTGGCCTATAATTACCGGGGTCCTCCTTTCTTCCCTTCTTGTAAATGGGGACCACATAGGCCCTTTTCCAATCCTCTGGTACCTGGCTAGTACCCCACGAGCACTCATAGAGCCGTGCCAGGGACCCCACTATGACCCCCGCCAATTCCCTCAGCATCCTCGGGTGAAGAGCATCTGGACCTACTGGTGTAAATGCACCCAGCCACTCCAAAAGTTCCCTAACTAGGTTGTCCCTGACCCTAGGCATGGCGGTGCCTCCCCTGGGTCTGTCCACAATTCTAGTGGGGGAGATGTCCCGGTCCCTGTTCAGGAATATGGAGGCAGAGAATTTGTTAAAGAGGTCAGCTTTTTCATTTGCCACAATCACCAGATTGCCAAGCCTATCCTGTAGGGGCCCCATGTTGCCCGGTGCCTTCTTCTTACTTCCTATGTATTTGAAAAAGGACTTTTTATTATCCTGAATTCTAGTCACTAGCCCTAGCTCAATCTCTGCCTTGCCCTTCTTAACAGCCTCCCTGCAGTTAGGATTTATATCTTAAACTTGCTGCAGTGAATTTATATTACAATAATCTAATCTAAATGCATTACATTAATTCTGACATTTTGCAAGGCAATGGGAAGCGGAGCCATGCACTTGGATCAGTACTTTGTATGCTTTGGTTTCATCAAGTATGGGACCTGGCTTTAAATTTACTCAAAGACATAACTCTGTGAAATGAAATATTTGATTTCAGACTCTTCCATACTTTCAAAGAGCAAAACATTTAAATTACAACTGGAAACATAAAACAAGACTCTCATTGTAAAGTTATGTAAGGCTTGGCAGAAGAATAGCATTTGGGTCACATTGCTACATAGAGTTATCTCTGTCATTCACTCAGATCTTGCAGAACATGATTTCAACTTCTTGACACAGGCTAGTGCAAAAAGGATCCTTAATTATTCTAATGTCAGAGTGTAATCAAGGATTAGACCTGCCAAGCCAAATCTTTATGAATTATTTTTAAGACAGTTCTAACAAGGGAATAGATGGTGTGAAAAATGTACAAAAAATGAATTTTTCCCTAGGTAAAATTTTATTTGAAAACTTTGGGAAATTTTTTGTTTTGCTTTTTCATTTTTTTTTGGTTCATTTTGGTCTTTTTTGGTTTTTCCATCACATGTTTCAAACTTATTCAAACAAATAATTGTGTTGTGACTAAATATTTTTTGGGCCAAACAAAATAAAATTGTATTGTGTGCTGATTTAATTTTTTGGTAGGATGATGAAAATGGTATTTTAAGTCTAAGTCTAACAAGATATATTGCTTCAAATTTTTTCACAGTAAAACTTAAATTTCCCATTGAAGTTAAATTGTTTCTGAAAAAAGATCAGTTTGATGAAACAGTATTTATCAGCAGAAAAGTTCAATGAAAAAGACTCAGCCAGATCTTCTGCAGGGAGAACAGATTGGTCAACATATGTTACAGGTTACATTTCATTCCATTTCTTGGCTTTCAGGGGATCCATTTATGTTTCCTTTGTCATCACTACACCAGAAAAGAGGAGAAATGCTACATAAATTAAAGTATAACCTAGCTTTTATGATTCCATAGAAGGATTCATACAAGATGAGGAATATAATAATTATTTGTCATTTGATCTCAGCAACTGAGATCATGGCCATTTTACTAGATATGAAACATACCCTACACAGAAGAGCTTGATACTCAACAGACAAGGTGGGTAAAGGAAAATGGAGCTTTAGAGATGCAAAGTGACTTGCTGGGTTTTACACAGCATGTCAGTAACAGAACCAGGGAGAGAATCCAGACCTTTTCAATCCCTAATCAATTCCTTCTCCACTAGACCACACTGCTTATTCACCAAAGATCTACCAGGCCTTTCTCCAATTGCTATTTGCCACATCTATTTCAGAAGCATGTGGACTAGCTGATCAGAATCTGATTTTTATTCTTCAACATGGACTAATTCTGATGCTTCATTAGAAGGGATAATTTTCTGTAATGCACCTTTCCTCCCCTCCTATATGCAACACACTCCTCTCCCTTATCCTACCCTGCATGGCAGCTTGGCCAAAATATGTGGCTTTCCTCAGAAGACAGACCTCCTCCATCCCAGGAGGTGCAAGGCTTTCCCATTATCTCAATGGGCAGACTAGTGCAC